GCTAGTTTCTTTGTATTTTTTAGTAGAGACGGGGTTTCACCGTGTTCACCAGGATGGTCTCGATCTCCTGACCTCGTGATCCGCCCGTCTTGGCCTCCCAAAGTGCTGGGATTACAGGCTTGAGCCACCGCGCCCGGCCGCAGAGAAGGTTTTAAAACCGAGAGTGGATAATGCAGATGCCCTTACATCATAGTGAAATTTCGGTATATGAGTTGTGCAACATCACTTACTTAACAAAAACGATATTGTTAGGAAACCTTTATTTTTGTCTCAGAAATAAAAATTTCACATTTCTTACAAAGACATTGAAATCTTCTTTAAAAAAAAAAAAAAAAAAAACAACCAAAACATCTTGTGACAAAGGCAGCATGACACTAAATCAGGAGTCTCTGAAATGGTAGTTTATCACTTCTTAGTTCTAATTAAGGTTAAGGTCCCTGGCACTTGTCATTACCTTTGAAAGTCACTACTACCCTTTTTATCTCTCTCTCTCTTTTCTTATGAAAATATAGTTTGTTTTTTGTTTTTTACTTTTCAGCTTAGGGGTACATGTGCAAGTTTGTTACATAGATAAACTTGTGTTATGGGCGTTTGTTGTACAGATTATTTCATCACCCAGGTTATTATTAATAACCCATTAGTTATTTTTCTGGACTCTCTCCCTCCTCCTGCCCTCTACCCTCCCAATAAGCTGTGTGTTGTTCCCCTGTATGTGTTCATGTGTTATTCCCCTCTACACATCGATGTGTTTTCATCATTTACCTCCCACTTACAAGTGAGAACATGCAGTATTTGCTTTCCTGTTCCTAGTGTTAGTTTGCTAATTGCCTCCACCTCTATCCATGTTCCTGCAAAGGACATGAGCTCATTCTTTTTTATGGCTGCATAGTATTCGTGGTGTATATGTACCACATTTTTCTTTATCCAGTCTTATCATCGATGGGTATTTAGGTTGATTCTATGTCTTTGCTATTGTGAGTAGTGTTGCAGTGAACATGCACATGCACGTGTCTTTATAATGGAGTGATTTATATTCCTTTGGGTATATGCCAGTAATGGCATTGTTCAAATGATATTTCAGTCTTTAGATCTGTGAAGAATCGCCACACTGTTTTCCACAATAGTTGAACGAATTTACACTTCTACCAACAGTGTATGAGTTCCTTTTTCTCCACAACCTTGTCAGCATCTGTTACGTTTTGACTTTTTAATAATAGCCATTCTGATTGGTGTGAGATGATATCTCATTGTGTTTATTTATTTATTAATTTTTTTTTATTTTTTGAGACCAAGTCTCGCTCTGTTGCCCAGACTGGAGTGCAGTGGTGTGATCTCGTCTCACTGCAACCTCCATCTCCCAGGTTCAAGCAATTATCCTGCCTCGGTCTCCTGAGTAGCTGGGACTACAGACACACGCCAACATGCCCAACTAATTTTTGTATTTTTAGTAGAGACAGGGTTTCACCATGTTGGTCAGGCTGGCCTTGAACTCCTGACTTCGTGATCTGCCCGCCTTGGCCTTCCAAAGTACTGGGATTACAGGCGTGAGCCACTGCACCCAGCCTTTCATTGTGGTTTTGATTTGTATTTCTCTAATGATCAGTGATTTTGAGCTTTTTTTTCATATGATTGTTGGCCATATGTATGTCTTCTTTTGAAAAGTATCTTTTCATATCCTTTGCCTACTTTTTAATATTTTTTTCTTGTAAATTTGTTTAAGTTCCTTATAGATGCTGGATATTAGATCTTTGTCAGATGCACAGTTTGCAAATATTTTCTTCCATTCTCTAGGTTGTGTATTCACTCTGATGATAGTTTCTTTTGCTGTGCAGAAGCTGTTTAATTAGATCCCATTTGTCAGTTTTTGCTTTTGTTGCAGTTGCTTTTGGCATCTTCATGAAATCTTTGACTGTGCCTATGTCCTGACTGATACTGCTAGGTTGTCACCCAGGGTTTTTATAGTTTTGGGTTTTACATTTAAGTCTTTCATTCCTCTTGAGTTAATTTTTGTGTATGGTATAAGGAAGGGGTCCAGTTTTAATCTTCTGCATATGGCTAGCTGTTATTCCAGCACCATTTATTGAATAGGGAATCCTTTCTCCATTGCTTGTTTTTGTTAGATTAGTTGAAGATCAGATAGTTGTAGGTGTGCATTTTTATTTCTGGGTTCTCTATTCTGTTCTATTGGTCTGTGTGTCTGTTTTTGTACCAGTTCATTTCTCTTTCAGAGTGTTTTCACTTGCTTTCATTTCTGTAGCCCAACACATAACTCCACCCCCTTTTATTTAGGGGAAAGGAGCAATATCATTGTCTCTGAGTCTACTGTGCTTTAGTAACTGAGCACACTAGTTACTCACTAACTATAGAATAAAATGCAGGAGGAAGAAGTGGTTCAAGCCACACAGTAAGACTTATATTTACTTTGCTTTCATAAGTCAGTTGTTTTCTTCTTTTTGTCTATTGTAAACATGCCAGGTTTTTTTTTTTTTTTTTTTTTTTTTTTTGAGACAGGGTCTTGCTCTGTCATCTCAACTGGAGTGCAGTGACATGGTCATGGCTCACTGCAGCCTTGAAATCCTGGGTTTAAGTAATCCTCCTGCTTTAGGTTGTCAAATAGTTGACTACAGTTGTGTGCCACCATGCCTGGCTAAGTTCTTTAATTTTGTAGAGATGAGATCTTGCTGTGTTGACCAGGCTGGTCTTGAACTCCTGGCCTCAACTGATCTTTCTGCCTTGGCCTCGCAAATTGCTGGGATTTACAGGCGTCAGCCACTGTACCCACCCTAAAACATGTCAGGTCTTAGCATTTTTATATTTAAGTTCAACTCTAGTTTAAAAAACTCCATGTTCGGCCGGGCGCGGTGGCTCAAGCCTGTAATCCCAGCACTTTGGGAGGCTGAGACGGGTGGATTACGAGGTCAGGAGATCGAGACCATCCTGGCTAACACGGTGAAACCCCGTCTCTACTAAAAAATACAAAGAAACTAGCCGGGCGAGGTGGCGGGCTCCTGTAGTCCCAGCTACTCGGGAGGCTGAGGCAGGAGAATGGCGTGAACCCAGGAGGCGGAGCTTGCAGTGAGCTGAGATCCCGCCACTGCACTCCAGCCTGGGCGACAGAGCGAGACTCCGTCTCAAAAGAAAAAACAAAACTCCATGTTCAGCCACCACCCTGGAAAAATCAAATCAACAAATTTATTAATAATTTAAAGCATTGCAAGAATTTGAAGTTACATTTCTAGACAAGAACTGACAAAACCAATCTCCTCTGAATTTCACACCAGTAGTAATAAACATAATGATTACAGAAAATATGACTTTTTCTTCATTCCTAGGCCTTGTCAGCTTCAAGGCTTTAATTGAAGAATCTGAAATGAAGAAATTCCCAGACAATGATCTTTTGCGACACCTTCGCCTAGTCACACAGGATGCAGAGAAGTGTGCCTCTGTTGCGCAGCAATTGCTTAATGGCAAAAGGCAAACTAGGTATGTGCTTCTGACTGCGTGAGTTTGGATTCTTTGGCACCTATGTTTGGAAACCTGTTGTGACTCCTTCTGTCTTGAATTTCTGTGACCACCTGGGTGTGGTGGACATATATATATATTCTTATATGGCTTCCTTGGGCCTTTGTCTTTATAGATATCGATCTGGTGGAGGGAAATCCCAAAATCAGTTGACAGTGAATGAGCTCCGGCAGTTTGTAACACAGCTGTATGCTCTTCCATGTGTCCTCAGTCAGACACCATTGCTAAAGGTAACCATAGAGGGATGTGTGGGAGAATACTTTGGTAATGCTGTATTTTGTATATAAACTCGATTGACATTACTAAGTAATCTTTGATGATTAGTATGTACATTTTTTTGCAGATGCTTTTAATAATACATGGAGTGGTATGTGTATATAAACAGATTATAATAGTAGGCCCACAGAGGGGAAATAAAGTTGGAAATTTTTCCTTTGAAAGTGACCTTGGCTGGGCATGGTGGCTCACACCTGTAACCCCAGCTCTTTGGGAGGCTGAGGCAGGCAGATCACCAGGTCAGGAGTTCAAGACCAGCCTGTCCAATCTGGTGAAACCCCATCTCTACTAAAAATACAAAAATTAGCCAGGCATGGTGGCACATGCCTGTAGTCCCAGCTACTCCAGGAGGCTGAAAGCAGGAGAATCGATTGAACCTGGGAGGCAGAGGTTGCAGAAAAAAAAGAAAGTGACCTCAGCTAGTTCGAGTTGGGATAAGGTCTCCGTTATAGTTGCTTAGTGTTTGCTGTCAGTTGGCTTATGTATTATCTTATTTACCTATATTATTACTAAAATTAAATGAGATGTTAGAGTATCTCAGTGAATATGAATTTAAGATTCTAAGTTTGAAAGAAGCCAATTACTGAAAATTACTGTTTTAATGCAATAACCTGTGTATTTTTTTAGGATCTCTTGAATCGTGTAGAAGATTTTCAACAGCATAGTCAGAAACTACTGTCTGAGGAAATGCCTAGTGCTGCGGAGCTGCAGGACTTGCTAGATGTCAGCTTTGAATTTGATGTTGAACTTCCACAGCTTGCTGAGATGCGTATCCGTTTGGAACAGGCCCGTTGGCTGGAAGAGGTGCAGCAAGCTTGCCTAGACCCCAGCTCCCTTACTTTAGATGATATGAGACGTCTCATAGACCTAGGGGTAGGGCTGGCCCCGTATTCAGCAGTGGAGAAGGCTATGGCCCGGCTGCAGGAACTGCTCACAGTGTCAGAGCACTGGGACGACAAAGCCAAGAGTCTCCTCAAGGCCAGGTGAAAAAGCAGACTTCTCTTTCTTTGGGAAGGTTGGACAGTTTTCTCCATCTTAAACATAGAGCACAACAATTGGTGTATGGCATGTGCTCAGTAGCTGCGGTTATTATGCATGTGGAAGACATGTAGAAATAGCTGAGATATTTGGAGCTGCTTTGGGACCTGAATAAAAGAATGTTAATTTTTTCTTATTTTACTGATTATAAAATGAATAATTCAATTGGATACACCTTTTCTAGAGTTGGTTTAATAAAATTTCCCTGGATCCTGTTAATATCCTGTCTTTGAGAGAGGAAAATACTTACAAATAGGTGAAGTTGTTTAAATTCACAGTTAATAAATACGGTTCCAAGGAGTCTTAAAGAGAAATGTGTGAGAGTCAGTAGGCACTGTTCTGCAAGAAAACAGTGCAGATAATTTTCAACATGAACAGACAATGCCATTTGAAAAAATTTCTTTGCCATACTGAATTTCCTTTGAAATGCTAGTCTTTTTGGTAACCATTTAAAGAAAAATGAACCATCATATAAAATACTAAGAAGTCTTTGTTTGCATTTTGTAGGCCACGGCATTCATTGAATAGCCTTGCTACGGCAGTAAGGGAAATCGAAGAGATCCCCGCATATCTGCCCAATGGTGCAGCTCTGAAAGACTCAGTGCAGAGAGCCAGAGACTGGCTTCAGGATGTAGAGGCCCTGCAGGTTGGTTTTAAAAAGTATATACGGAATGTGTAAGTGCATCCAGAAAGAGCAATATTGGAAAGTTGTGAAGAATAATATGTTGGATCTCGCTGCACAGTTTCACTATTTTAGGGGTTGACCAGAAGACTAATTCTATTCAGATTTATTTGGATGTACTTACCAGCTATTATCCTGACCAGTTGTCTCAAATATTTAAAGCTTAGACAGTGTCACCAACTTTTTCTGGGAGCTGGGGAGTCTTTCATAACAAACTTGAGTACTTGACTGCAGATTGAAGCAAAAGAACTAACAATGAAGTAGTGAGAGAAAGTAGTTTTCTACTCTTTGATAAGTATGATTACCTCTTGTTGGCTTGTCCACAACTTTGAAGTTCTGACAATCAGTAATAGCAGATTCAACAAATCTAGTTATATGACTAAATGCCCAAACTAAGCCCCAAGGCTCAGAATTTTCATGAAGTAGTTACTTCAAAGTACCCTCCCAACCCTAAAAAGAAATAAAAACCTACCCAGTTCCAAAGTAATTATCCAAAGTATCCAAAGTCATTTCCACCAAGTATTTGTGGTTTTATGCTAGATGTCATACTTTTTGACCTGTATATAAGTTTTAAAAAATAATTAAGTTCACTTGTAGTATTGTTAAGGTACAAAAATAATGTATTATTTAATATGATTTTCCCAGTTTTCAGACGACTGACTGAATGACTTAATTTGAAAAGTGTTTGATGGGGGATGTCTTCCCTTATCTCTTATCATCATAAACTAATAGGTGTTACTGACCTATTGAGAAAAAAAAGTCTCAAGTTCTGTTTTGTTGAAGTCCTCAAATTCTAGAAATAAAAATACTATCTGGCTTTCTGAATATTTGTGTAATTTTAAGTGGTGCTAATTGGCTAGTTGCTAACAAGAAGTACCAAACAGGACAATTCTAGACAAATGTTTGCATCTGGGCATCTGTTCTTGTTAATAGGGAAAAGAAGATATATTGTTTGAGGAGATTACATAATTAAGGACTGACTCCAGCAAGCCAAAAAAAAAAACAAAAACAAACAAAAACAAAGTATTTACTATGGATGTAAACTTCGTTAATGAGAGTTTTAGATGTAGGCACTTGTCAATGATAGTTGGTACTGTAGTAATTAGTTTTAGTCATGGTCCTCCTTTTTACTCCATGATTGCTAGCAGCCAGAAGGTGAGCTCATGGCAATAAGGAGAGGCTGGCATATAAAATCAGAAAGCAAGGGCATGCTTCTGGATGAGTTTATTTCCTTCATATTTTATATGTATATGCTACTTTTACTATGTTTGTAACAGTGCCATTAAGGGCAAAAGGCAAGTTTTGCTTCATTCCTGAAAAAGTAGCCTACCTTTTTTTTGAATCGTATATTTAAGGACTAATAGACATGACTAACAACAAGGAACTATTTTCTATTTAGTGGATTATTTATTTTAAAATGTTAGGCAGTATTCTGCTTTACACATAGGAAGCACTCAGATTTCTAAATTAAATACCATAGGAATAGCATTAATTTATGAGTTACGTTCTTAAGTGTCCATCAGAACATTTATGCCCTAACAGTTTTAATCCTCTAAGAATAAATATCAAAGGCAGCAAAATAACCTACCCAGTCTTCCCTAGTTGTCCCAAAAATGTCCCTTATGGCTGTTTGTCTAACCCAGGAACACACATTGCACCTAATTGGCATCTCTAAGTTTCTTTTGATCTTGTAGCGTTTTCCTCCCTACCCCAGTTTTCCTCATGTCACTGACTAGACAGTTATCCTGTGGTATACTCCACCTTCTGGATTTGTTTGGTTGTTTCTTTGTGGAGTGTTCCATTCTCTGTATTTTGTATAAATTGGAAGTTAGTTTTAAAACCCTGGTGCATCCAAGTTAAACATTTTTTAATATAATGCATTAAAATGTCAGGTAATACTGTATATTCTATATTGCATCACAACAGGAGACATACCTGGATGACCTGACATCAGTGATGCTAAGTTTTACATTGTATTAGAGCAACACCAATGCATTTCATCCTCCATAACCTAATGCTTTTACTCTCCTTCTAGTTTGGCTATCTTTTTCTAAAAATACAGTTCCCAGACCAGCAGTAGTAGCATTGGCAACAGCAGCTTCACCTGGGAACTTGTTAGAAGTGCAAATTTATGGACCTTTCTCTGACCCACTGAATTAGAATATTTGGGGATAGGACTAAGGAAACTGTTTAAACAAGCCTTCCAGATGATTCTTATGTATGCTAAAGTTTGAGAACCACTGGGCTGTCTCAACTTTTATTTTAGTTTCCTGAATAATTTATATTGAGTTGCTTTAATTAATCATTGGTGAGTGGATTGGGGTAAAATATTGTTTCGTTGCTTTTTATTTGTATAATTCCGTATGAAAGTCTTGAGTGTCTACAAACCTTCATTTCTGCTGAAATTTTTTTCAAACTATCAGGGATCAATGTGATGAGTGAATTTAGAAGGGTGTAAATAGAACAAAGGGACCACAGTATATGCCATGTTCACATTTGTATCCTTAGAGTCTAGCATATACTAGGTTCTCTAGGCCTGGCACAGTGGCTCACTATAATCCCAGCAGTTTGGGAGGCCGAGGTGGGAGAATTGCTTGAACCCGGGAGGTAGAGGTTGCAGTGAGCTGAGATTGCACCACTGCATTCCAGCCTGGGCAAGAGTGATGCTCTGTCTTAAAAAAGAAGAAAAAAGAAAAAAAAAGAAAATAAAAAAACACCACCAACAACAAAAGACCAAACTAGGTTCTCTAAGTGTCACTTCTACCCCCAACATTATTGGTCAGCTGGCAGGTTGACATTTGTGAATTTAGCATGTTGTTTGTGAATTTAGCATGTTGAGATCATGGAGTAATCTGAAGTACTCAGTGAACCAATCTGATTTATGCTTTTCCTGGTTTTCATAGAAGTGTTCTTTTTTCTAAACTGCTGTAATTTTCCTTGATTTATTAGGCTGGAGGACGTGTGCCAGTGTTAGACACACTCATAGAACTTGTTACACGAGGCCGATCTATCCCGGTACATCTGAATTCTTTGCCAAGACTGGAATCCCTAGTAGCTGAGGTTCAGGCTTGGAAAGAATGTGCTGTTAATACATTCTTGACTGAGAATTCTCCATATTCTCTCTTAGAGGTAAGTTTACAACCAGCTCATCTGCAAGACCTTAGATCTCCTAGTTTGGTAAAACATGCAGTTCATCACATGCAAAGATGACATCACAGATTAATCTATATTCTGTGAGTTGTTCTTCCAGAAAAGCCAGGGAGATTCTTCTAATCTTCTGGTGAAGCAACCTTTAAATGTTTTCTTGGTTCATTTAGGATAACAGTATCTTAAAGAAGAAAATTTTTTCCTACTGGGTGAAATTCCTCTGTGTTGAAATTGGACTCTTAAACTTGGCCATGTTTTACCCACCTGAATTTCGTAAGCCTGATAAATGATCTCCCCCATCTTTTAAAAGTGCTTTAACTGCACTTTTTGTATTTTCTGTAAACTGTTGCTTGTGCATCATGACTGGGATCAGTTGGTATATATCACATTTTTTACTTGTTACTTAATTGAATCAGGAAATCAGTCAGTCTCATAAGAGTCTTCCTCCTCCTTTTGTAAAGGAGAGTCTGAGGGTTGCACGTTCCAAAGAAAATCTTCAATACTAAGAAATGCATATCCTTTTTACTGCTTAGGCTTTTATTTTGGGACTTCCTACCTAATGCTTTATCTGAAATTTATTTTACCGTTCGTTGTGCTTTGTCCCACATTAGGTGCTGTGTCCTCGATGTGATATTGGCCTTTTGGGATTGAAAAGGAAACAGAGAAAGTTAAAGGAGCCCTTGCCAAATGGAAAGAAAAAAAGCACCAAATTAGAGAGTCTGAGTGACCTGGAGAGAGCTTTAACTGAAAGCAAAGAGACTGCTTCAGCTGTATGTAGGGGTTTTTTTCTTCTCCTTTCTGTGTTATTGGGAAGAATAATTTCTGACCCTCTCTAGTTTATAGGAATTTGGAGAAGGCAAGTAGAGTAAATTGAAAGTGTTCAGTTTTACTAAAAAGACTTTTTGAAAATTGTCAAGTGTTACGAGTTTTGAATGGTAAGATGCATAGAAGTGCGAAAGATTCAGGGTAGGCTTCCCAGTCAGGGACTGGCAGACACAGAAACAGTCTTGTTAGTGCCTGTGGGTTGATCCAGGAATGCTAACTAAATATATTGAAACTAATACGAATAGATACATGAAACTGCAGTGCCAATTTATTAGTTTACAGTTAAGAAGTACATTTAGCCGGCGCATGGGCTTCAAAGCCTGTAAATGCCCAGCACTTTGGGGGCCGAGACAGGTGAGTCACGAAGTCAGGAAGATCGAGACCATCCTGGCTAACACGGTGAAACCCCGTCTCTACTAAAAAATACAAAAAACTAGCCCAGGGGATGTGGCGACGCTCTGTAGTCCCAGCTACTCGGGAGGCTGAGGCAGAGAAATGGCGTGAACCCGGGAGCCGGAGCTTGCAGTGAGCTGAGATCCGGCCACTGCACTCCAGCCTGGGGTGACAGAGCGAGACTCCGTCTCAAAAAAAAAAAAAAAAGAAGTACATTTAAAAGTTACTGGATACTTTGATACTCCATCTAAAGACTTAAATCTTCTGAATTCAACATACTGTTGATTCCAAAGATGATACTTTCAAGGAGACCGAAGCAATATGTAACCTAATGTTACACATTAAGCACCTTATCAGGATTAAAAAGGGATAGTTTTGTGATGGTTTTAATGGCAACGAAGCCATTGCCCGTTCTAGAAGTGGGACTGTATACTGCTACTGGGACTAGAATTGAATGGGTTCATCTGTGGATCCCCGGGCACCTTCTCCCATTGATTTCTTTGTAACTGCCGGACCTCTTGCGATAACCATGGGTTGCTTTGATTTATTTAGTATTTTGACACAGATAAATCCTTTCTAGTGTAATGTTTGTAAAATTTCAGTCATCAGACAGATTTCTGTCATCAAGAGGTCCTCCATTCCATCTGTGGTTTGTTTTATAAGACTAACTGAAAGTTACAGTCACCCTCCCTGAGATGTTTATATGTTGGGTTTGAACTTTACATGCAGTATCTTTCATAGATTTTAGTCTGTGCCCATCGTGTCTGTAGACCCTGGTTTAAGAATTCTCCCTACATATATCTTTAATTTATGGTAGACCTCAAAGGTTAGTCATATTGCTTTCCATCTCTAAGCTTGAGAAGTTACCTTGTTATCATAAAACCCACACATATTACCTGTGTATATATTTTACATAAAAGAAGTGGATTTTAAAAAAATATACCAAAGGTCTTTACCTGACTTCGCTTTTAGATCTTTTTTTTTTTTTTTTTTTTTTTTTATTTAATAATAGAGGATAATGGAGAGTTTATCTCTGCCCTTGTAAGGGTGCTTCATCCTGGTGAATCGTGATGGATCTGAAAGGGATAGATGTGATGATTGGAAATGGTTTTTAACTGTGACAGATTTTTTGAGAACTTGTTTACATATGTGCCAGGCAAAGAGTGTCCTATCCCACATCTGTCACTTAACGTCATCTCAGCCTTGTGAGGTGGGCACTATTATCAACCTCCATTTTACACAGGCAGAAATAGCCATAATCGAATACGTGGCACCAGGTCACTCACACAGCTTAGTCTGAGGCAGAGTCAGGATTTGAATACACAGATAATCTACTCAGGATCCCATGCTCTTTTTTTTTTTTTTTTTTGAGACAGAGTCTCGCTCTGTCACCCAGGCTGGGGTGCAGTGGCGGATCTCAGCTCACTGCAAGCTCCGCCTCCCGGGTTAATTCCTCTGCCTCAGCCTTCCTGAGTAGCTGCGACTACAGGTGCCTGCCACTCCGCCTGGCTAGTTTGTATTTTTTAGTAGAAATGGGGTTTCACCTGTGTAGCCAGATGGTCTCAATCTCCTGACCTCGTGATCCGCCCGTCTCGGCCTCCCAAAGTGCTGGGATTACAAGCTTGAGCCACCGCACCCGGCCCCCATGCTCTTAACCACCAGGACTTTGAGTTTTAGGGGAAGGCCAAGTTATCTAGGACATCATCCTTGATTGTTAACTCTTTTTTCAGATGGCAACTCTCGGGGAAGCTCGCCTAAGGGAAATGGAAGCCTTGCAGTCTCTCAGACTTGCCAACGAAGGGAAATTGCTGTCACCTGTCCAAGACGTGGATATAAAAATCTGCCTATGTCAGAAGGCCCCAGCTGCCCCTATGATTCAGTGTGAACTCTGCAGGGATGCTTTCCACACCAGTTGTGTGGCGGTACCCAGTATTTCACAGGGCCCCCGAATCTGGCTTTGTCCCCATTGTCGGAGGTCAGAGAAACCTCCATTAGAGAAAATTCTGCCCCTGCTCGCCTCCCTTCAGCGTATCCGAGTTCGCCTTCCTGAGGGAGATGCACTTCGATATATGATTGAAAGAACCGTGAACTGGCAGCACAGAGCCCAGCAACTGCTTTCGTCAGGGAATCTTAAATTTGTGCAAGATCGAGTGGGCTCAGGACTGTTATATAGCAGATGGCAGGCCTCAGCAGGACAGGTGTCAGACACAAACAAGGTGAATTTGGACTTTCCTTATTGGGTTGTTGGAATTTGCAAAGCTCTGTATCTTTCTCTCGAACCTGTAGCTTTGGTGTTGCTATTCCCTTGGTGATCACTTTACTGTTAATAGCACCCACTTTACCTGTAGCTTCCCACTTCAAGACCATGCAGCAGGTACAACATACTCTTTTAGTTTCCTCTGCTCTTAATAGAAGTTGTTTCTCAGGCACTCTTTATATAGAGCACATATTTAGCTTTTCACAGATACCAATGATCTTTTCATTTATATGTGTGCTGACCCATATATATCTTACATATATGTCTATGATGTTCCTTTAAGTCTTTGCTTGACTAAAAAGTTTTTTACCCTGCTTCTCATGTAAGTCAATTAGTAGAAAGGGAAAGCACTTCCTGCCTTTCATCTCTTTTTGCCCTTTAAGGGAACATATTTTTTGGAAGAAGTGTTTGAGCACTGTGTTATTTCAGAGGAAAGCTCCTGGGTTACACACCATGTGTGATCTTTCTGCCAAAAGCCAGATTCTTTTGACCATCACTGGATGGGCAGAGTTTTCTGTCATCTTCCATAGGTGGCTGCAGTAAAAGAATGTGAAGACAATAGAAAAGTACAATCAGGAAGGCAGTATTCAATCTTTATGAGGTTAATCTGATGGTTTTTAAATTTGCTGAACATCTCCGTACCAGAGATACCACAACTCTCTTGTGCCATATGAGCACAGACACATGGATTATATGAATTACATTGGTGATAAGATGAAGACCAAAAAAAAAAACCAAAACAGTCTGTCATATTTATTTCCTTGGGTTTTTATTTCTTTGCAGGTATCTGAAATATAGTGCCTGACACATAGATGATGAATTAAATATTTGTTGCATAGATGAGTTGTGGCATTGTGCACACTCCCAAAGTGGAGTCATTGGTGTTCTTTACCCAGGATGTGCTAGGAGTTTACCCTTCTTAGTAAAGGGAAAGGACACAACTATTATATTAATCCATGGTCAAAGGAGTGTTTCCCCTAGCTCTTTTAATATAAAACACTAAGGAAGATAGGAAAGTGGTTATGGATGATTTCTGACATTTGATTTACTCGAAGGGGTACATACGTGTTTATTGTATTTTAACCCTCAATAAGGAGAATTAGAAAAGGATTAAAAGGCTGTATGATCTGTTCTCACACTGAGAAAGTGGCTTATTTCCCAATGGTCTTCTTTACATCTCTGAAATCAGTCCAAGTAAAACTGGAAAGAGTAAAGGCTTGGTATTTGGGAAGATATAAGTTGATTTGGCCAGTTCTGAAACGCCAGAAGACTCTTCAGCAGGGGAAAATCAAGTTTTTGTTTTTGTTTTTGTTTTTGTTTTTTTTTTCCTGGTTGCCTGCCTGGGTAATGCAAGCTACTGTCATTGGACTAATGGGAGTATTTTTAATCCTGAGGAGATTTTATTATAAAACATTTTCCCTCCATTAGGTATCTCAACCTCCTGGCACAACATCATTTTCCTTGCCTGATGACTGGGACAACAGAACCTCATATTTGCACTCTCCCTTTTCTACTGGACGAAGTTGTATCCCCCTCCATGGTTTGTATTTTGTTGTTATGTTGAAGGCTGGATACTAATGAGTGATCTTGTATTACTAGGTTTTTGTTATAGATGATCAAGTACCATAAAAAAGGACTTTATGCTGTAATGTAGGATATAAGCTATTACATATTTGCAAAATAGGGAAGGGATCCTATTTGAAGGCTTATAAATGCAAAGGAACAGAGAGGAAGGCTTTATATCCATTGTCCTCAGGGATGAAAGGGTTCATGCCACACCAGCTGATAAACATCAAGCTGTTAAGTCAGATGCTAGTCATGGGCTCCCTTGTTGCTTCATTACTTAGGAGACTTGAGAATCTTAGGGATAATCCACATTTACTAGAATCCTGATCCTTAGTCATAGCATCTCAGTGTGTGTCTAGTAATGTGGTTAGACCTCCTTGATCTACTCAGATTGTTCATGCTGTGGCCATCAGTTTGTTTCTGTGCTTTCTGTTAGAAGCCATTAAGGCAGAAGTACAGTTTTTTCTGCGTTAGCAATAAGTTAAATGAGAAGGGGATTCAGTGTATAATTAATACTAGTAATCAGAGACTTAGGAAATCTAGTTTTGGCTCTGTTTATTATATTGTGGCTTTAGGCACATTAAGTAAACCTCACTTCAACTGAAGATAATTTGTAATATAAGAAGGAGAGGGTAGTATGGTATTAGGGACAGTCCTTCTATTTGTCTCATAAACCCAAATGTGAATGTGAAACACCCTTTGTTATCATTTTGATTTGGTCTGGTCTTTTACAGGCGTTAGTCCAGAAGTGAATGAACTGTTGATGGAAGCCCAGCTGCTCCAGGTATCCCTTCCTGAAATTCAGGAACTTTACCAGACTTTACTTGCAAAGCCAAGCCCTGCTCAGCAGACTGACCGAAGCTCACCAGTGAGACCCAGCAGTGAGAAGGTGAGTGTCTGAGAGGGTTCTGTGGCAAGACACAGTCTGGGGTGGGGGTCTGCTTTCTTTTACTCCTCCAAACATAACCAGGCAGCTGGTGTGAGCACTGGGTGATTAGACTGAGGATGACCCATTTTGAATGCTGACTTACTTGAAGGATACTCCTTAATGTCCAGTTTCTTAACATAGTTAAGGATACTGCGGCTGCTGCCACTTCCTTCTAGTGAACTAACTGACCCATCACATTTAACGCCCCTGAGAATATAGTTAGGATAGAAATCTGCTAGGAAGCCTGAAGCCAAATTAGGGAAGAACTTCACTAAAGATAGCATGAGGGCTGATGTTGACATTTAGAATTTCATTTTTCATTGTGATACCAAGTAGTATGGCACGATCATTGAATGTGTTCAGTTAATGCACCTTACTCCTATATGGTGTGGGGGGTGTACATCCTTCAAGAAGGAAGATTATTAGTGTGGTTCCTCAGGAGCCTATCGGTCAAAGGATAGACATAAACACCTAGACAGAAACTATAGAGTAGTCAGTCATTCAGGGATTTGGTGAAAGGAAGACTCTTAGTGGGCACTTCTCCATCTTCTGGTATTGGTTGGCTAATTTGAAGGCTAATCACATCTTTAACATTCCTTTTTTTTTTTTTTGGAGACAGAGTCTCACTCTGTCACCCAGGCTGGAGTGCAGTGGCCGGATCTCAGCTCACTGCAAGCTCCGCTTCCCAGGTTCACGCCATTCTCCTGCCTCAGCCTCCAGAGTAGCTGGGACTACAGGCGCCCGCCACCTCGCCCGGCTAGTTTTTTTGTATTTTTTAGTAGAGACGGCGTTTCACCATGTTAGCCAGGATGGTCTCGATCTCCTGACCTTGTGATCCACCCGTCTCGGCCTCCCAAAGTGCTGGGATTACAGGCTTGAGCCACCGCGCCCGGCCAACATTCCTTTTTCCAGTGATCCTTTGGTAGCACTAACAGTGACAGGGAAAGGAAGTATGTTAAACCCAAACTGGTTGTCTTCTATAAGATTGGGAAGGGAGTGGTTAAGATGCAGTATTTTTTTGTGTGTAGATTGGGGGATCATCTAATTTCTAATTTACGTGCTCTCTTTAGCTTCTTTAGTTTTAGTAATAGGTGAACCATAGGCTAAAATTGAACTTTCCTATCTTCCACCCAGAATGACTGTTGCCGAGGGAAGCGAGATGGAATTAACAGTCTTGAGAGAAAACTGAAGAGACGCCTGGAAAGAGAGGGCCTCTCCAGTGAGCGGTGGGAACGAGTTAAGAAAATGCGGACCCCCAAAAAGAAGAAAATCAAACTGAGCCACCCCAAGGACATGAACAATTTCAAGTTAGAGAGAGAGCGTAGCTATGAATTAGTTCGTTCTGCTGAAACTCATTCCCTGCCCTCAGACACATCCTATTCTGAACAGGAAGACTCTGAGGATGAAGATGCCATCTGCCCAGCTGTGAGCTGCCTGCAGCCAGAAGGAGATGAGGTCAGTGAGGTTTGGGCCATAGAGGACATGCTTTCCCTTAACTCAGAAACCCTGTAAGCTAGACCTCATCTCGCTGGGTCTTTCTCCTCTGCTTATCTGCTTTGAGCTGATCTGAATGGATTGCTCAGCCCTTCCCCCACTGATATCTCTGCTCTTACCATCGTTCCTGGGTCTCCTCCCTTTTCTTGAAGAAACTCTTGTTCTTCCCTTTTTCCTTTTCTTGCTCTTCCAGCTTTCACCTTCCTGGCGCTAAGAAGGTGGGAGGGATGCTGATGTGATGCCCTGTGGCTTACTTATCACAGGGCAGCGCTGTCTTAACCCCAAAGCACACACGACTTGAAGAATGACTTTGATTCGGTTGCTTTGGCTAGGGGGCCAGCTACACTCATTTGGCTTAGCTGTCGTGCCAGAGGTCCTGGTGGTGAGACAGTGGCCGTTATTGGCAAACGGCCTGAATTTCTTGAGGCTGGCCTGCCCAATTTTGAATCCATTTTTTTCCTCTGAAAACCCCATCTTCCTGCTCTTTGTAACCAGGTGGACTGGGTCCAGTGTGATGGCAGCTGCAATCAGTGGTTTCATCAGGTCTGTGTTGGTGTCTCCCCAGAGATGGCAGAGAAAGAAGACTACATCTGTGTGCGCTGTACTGTGAAGGACGCACCAAGCCGAAAGTAAAAACACAAAAACAGATACCCCCCTACTTAATGTAATTCAGGACTCCAACCAAGAGGATTTCTTCAAATCTCAGCAAAGCTACAGGACTGGTACTCAAGCCAGCCTGTAAACGGTGCTATTTCTATTCATTATGGGATCATTTTTCCAGGACTCTTTGAAGAAAAGAAAAAACAACTAAAAAAATTTTTGACACTTTTTGTATTTTTTCCTTAAGAGCTATTTGTGGTTGTTGAGGTTTGAAAAGCTGACTGTTTTTTGCAGGGGTTCCCACCAATTTGGAAGGCATTGAAGCTTGCACCTTTTCATGTACAGCATTAAAATTTTACCTCTCTCTGGGATTTACCAGCTTAAGAGTCCAACTCACTTCCAGTGCCCAAAAGGGCACCCACCAGAAATTCCAGTAAATCCTCATTTGAGGAAACTCTCCCTTGTTTACTCTGTTACCACATTGGGGAAATTTTTAAGTTTTTCACTTTGGGGGTTTTTGTTTGTTTCTTCTTTTCCTTTATCCACTTTTCTTTTTCCTGGTAGACTAGGTTTATTTATCTGAGCAATAACTTCTGTGTTGGTTTCAGTGGCTGGAATTAAAACAAAACAAAACAAACTTCCAAACAGTGTGTTGGTGCTTTAGCGATTGATTGATGTACAGAACACAAATGTCTAGTTTCTAGTGTCACTGATGAACTAGTGATGTAGAAAAGAGACCTCTCTGTAAGTAATTGCCACAGCTGTATTTTGGCTTTCTCCCTGTCCCTTCCTTTCTCCCCTATTTTTTGGTAGCTTGTATCAAATGTTACAGTTTATATTGTGGAATAAATCCTTCGTCCTAACAGAACACTAAATGCTGATTATTTAGAGCCATTAGAGCACAGCTTCTTCTGCCCCTCTACTGTTGCACAGCCAGAAGGGGCTGCTTGCTTTTGCCTCTGCCCAACCAGGTTGCAGTAGCAGTGGATGTTAGCCTGCAAACAACATTAGGGGATTCTTCTTTTGTGTCCTGCTCTGTTTGGTGGGCCATATGCCTACAGCCCTCACTAACAAAGAACCCCTCTGTCTTCAAGGACTAGAACCTATCTTTAAAGCCGTGCTCTTTTAAAATAAGCTTTCTCAGAATGTTGGCAAATCACTTCAATCCTCAAATCAGTCCTCCTTGTGAAATGATGCCTTTATTATATTTGAATTGAGAGGGGAACTTGGTTTAGGGTTAAGACATTGGAAGGAAATCTAAGGAAAATTAATCCTCACAGAGGTCCGGGTTTAGTATATGTCTTGAGAAGAGACTTGTGAATTGCCAGACTCTGCCTCCTGGTTTCCTTTCTCATTTCTTTCTAACTGTAGCTATCGTTACGGCTGTGGATAGCCCATAGCTATTTTCCTTGCTTTTCTTTTTTAAAGGGCTCTGTTCTGCACTGGAGAAGATATTCTGATGAATGGACTTTTGCTTTTTCCTATTCTGTTGCGAATTTTTGTTTTCCCCACATTCTATAGCCATAAACCTGAAGATGAGTAAAACTGGTGGGTCTTTAATAAAACAACAACAAAAACAGCAGTTTGTGATATAGCAGAGATTTAAATGTACTCTCCCCTTTTATGCACTTCAAATAATTAAATCTCTTTAAGAATGACTTCTAGTTGTCTGCAGTTTTCTGCAGTTGTTGTGATGTTTCTCCTCATCTGATGGTGGTTCTGGGGCAAATAGAGAAGAATAGTCTCCAGAGTACAATCTGGAATCATCATGGTTTGGCCTTGTCAGTGTTCAAATTCTTAGAACCCCCTCCATCACCCCCGACATTGAGATAGGATGCCAACTGTCCCAGTCCTCACCTTCCATTGAGAAATTAAGCTTAAAAGGAGACCCTGCTGCTAATATAAAGCCACTGCCTTTAGAGAGCTTTTGCCATCTAGTAAGCACAACCCCTGCCCCAATCCCTACTAGTTTTTCTTCTTCACCTGTGGGTAGTACATAGTCATTGACAATAGCATCTTTGAGGAGGTCAGATCTTTGTATCTGTGAGTGAGGCAGAAAAGGTAGGCATGTATGTATTTGAACCACTCCCTCCCTGGATGAGAACCACTCATCATTTTACGTGTGATGATGCTGAAGTTAAAGAGAATGTCAGTTGCCCAAAGCTATACTGTACTACTAGTAAATAACAAAGCCTGGGTTTTGTCTTCCAGTTTTCCTACAGTATTCCTCCTACTTTGTACACCATCACACTAATGAACACAGAGATACATTTACTTTCCAATTTATGCCTTCTGTTGTATCCCTAAAGTGACTACAGATTGATGGGATGTAAAAACCATGTTTCATTGTGTGTTAGCAATGAAGCTGGCCCGTGTCAGAGAAACCTCCTGAACTTGTAGGGAAAAATGATGAAATGCACACGGAAACTGACACTTCGGTTTCTGTCTCAGTAGTCCTACAGTTTTGTGAGGTGGGAGATGGGAAGGACTATGTTAAGTTAGAGCCTGAGCCAGAAGGAGGGTCAGTGGGTAAAGAAAGAAAGGGTAGATGAGGTGTGCCTCCCACCTCACCTAAGTGAATACTGTTTGTTTTTTGTTTTTCCTTCCAGATCAGACTTTGGGGGATTTCTTTCTTTCTTTCTTTATTTTTTTTTTTTTTTTTGAGACCGAGTTTCGCCCTTGTTGCCCAGGCTGGAGTGCAATGGTGCGATCTTGGCTCACCGCAGCCTCCACCTCCCAGGTTCAAGCGATTCTGCTGCCTCAGCCTCCTGAGTAGCTGAGATTACAGGCATGTGCCACCATGCCCGGCTAATTTTTTTGTATTTTTAGTAGAGACAGGGTTTCTCCATGTTGGTCAGGCTGGCCTCGAACTCCCCACCTCAGGTAATCCGCCGTCTCGGCCTCCCAAAGTGCTGGTATTATAGGCGTGAGCCACTGCGCCTGGCCCAGGGATTTCTTATATAGAATAAAGGGCTTGATTATATGGAGCCTCTATCCTGGAGAAAGGTTATGTAATTTGGACTAGCTGTAAAGGAAGTTGACTTCTTTACAGCTTCATTTCAGTATCCTAGGAGGTCGGGATTCATTTTTCTATCTCGAGTTAACCTAAGGGAGATATGCCACTTGTGGTGATGGAGGTTGGTAAAAACCGGAATTTCCCTGCTTCATTCTCCAGTGAAGAGCTTAAGAAAATGAGACTTTGGATATTTTGGCAGAAGTGTCTGAAATGCACCTAATTTGCCATTATACTCACCATCTAAAGCAACACAGTCTTTTGGGTGTTAGTGCAAGATTAGCCTAAGAATAGAGCAGATCTCTACCTGGAAGAGGGTGAAACATGGCTCTCTACTGATTCGGGTTGTACTCTGAAGCTCCTTTGTAATGGCTTTCTGCCTCTTTTTATTCCACTTAAAAATCTTGATGGATATTTGGCAGTCTGTTAAGACCTGCTTCTGGCTTGGAGCAGGCATTGATTGGTATTTAGTACCCACAGGTGTTTTTCTGGGCTCAGTCTTGCCTATGTTTGTTGCCATATAGCATAGACCGGAATGGATTCCAGATGCTATATACCTGTAACAGGAGACAGAATTGGACAACAAAGATTTTAAAAGTCATTGCCCATTGTCAAGCATTAAGCCAGAGCTGGTTGTTCATTATCAGGCTGACTACATGCTAGTCCATGCTAGTGTCAGCCTATATTAAAATAGTCTTTCCTTGCCATAGTGCTGCAGAAAACACAATCCCTTCTGATGAAACATTGCTTCTTGGGAAGAAGAACTGAGGAAAGCAATGAAGATCCCAGTGTCGGCCTTTATTGAGCTACGTATGAGGGTCAGGGTCCCTCAACTCCTAGTGACTATGAAGCAGCAGAGTGATGGCTTCGCCCTCTTTGCCCCTCTGTCACCAGTGTTTTGCATGTGGTTCTTTTAAGCCTCTCAGCTTTCTTTTCAGAGGCTTCATATGTAACTTATTATAGAAATGTTACTGAAAAGCTGCCTAAACAAAAAATTGTATAAAGTAGGAGTTTGTGTAAAGTAATACTGTTGTAAATCCATCTTCAAGGTGTAAATAATCAATTTGTAAAGTTATATTTTCACTTCTTCCTTCAAATTTATGTGAACAAGTTTTTCATGTTTCAATATTGCTTACATAGGAATGCACGTTACGTTTTTATCAGTATAAATGGAACATTTAAAGCCAGTCAACAACAGAACAGATAATCCAGCTCCCTGTTTGTGTTCTGGGTTAATTGTGCAAGGATGAAGGGCTAGAAAGTGGTGAGTTTGGGTGTGTTTCTTATTTTCAGGATAACCAGCTGCATTGCAATAGAGGAATGGAATGGTGAGGTCATTTGACCTGTTTCAGGTGAGTGGAGGCGAAAGAACATTCTTTCTGCCTCCCCTTGGATGGGAAAATTGAGAAATTAAAAAGTTGCCTTTCCCAGGAAGGTTATTTTCTCTATTTAAAATAAATGTCCAAAGGCACCACACTAAACACCAAAACTTTTAGCTCCTGGCAAATTTACTTAGCTAGAAGTTGGAGAAGAGTGGAATTTCAAACCCTGCTTTCTTTCTGCCTTTGCCAATACGTTTTCACTGACTATGATTCTGCTGCGAACACACACACACACACACACACACACACACACACACACACACACTCATAAAAGCCCCTTTTATATATGATCAGGACAAGTAGTTCAACAGTTAATAAAAAAGTTAAATTATTGGATGAGAAAGATACATTTAACCTAAATCATAAATATGTATATCCATTTATTAAAAACTAAAATTGAGAAAAATTACAGTTTGGGGATGAGGGCCTTCATTCATAATAGCCATAATGCATTATCTATGATGTCAGCTTGATTGAACTTCTTTAAAATGCATAAAGAATTTGAATAACAAATTTGACTTTTTTTTTTTTTTAAAGACAGTGTTTCACTCTTGTTGCCCAGGCTGGGGTGCAATGGCACGATCTCGACTCACTGCAACCTCCACCTCCCAGGTTCAAGGGATTCTCCTGCCTCAGCCTGCCAAGTAGCTGGGATTATAGGCATATGCCACCACGCCCGGCTAATATTGTATTTTTAGTACAGATAGGGTTTCACCATGTTGGCCAGGCTGATTTCGAACTCCTGACCTCAAGTGATCCACCCGCCTCAGCCTCCCAACATGAGCCACCACGCCTGGTCTAGGAATTTGATTTTAGAATTCTAAATATTTACTCATTTTTTTCAATCTTTTGTAAGAATTTCACCCACCTAAATTGACAGTTTTACAAGTTTTTTATAAAAAAAACTATTTTCACACTCATTTCATTGGTTTATGTAATAGTCAATTAAAACATAGTTACTATAACAAGTTGACTAGTATATGATTAGGAACAAATACTACTCGGTGAGAATAAAAGAGCAGGCCACAGGTGCCCAGCAGGCCAAGACCTTGAGTACATTTTACAGAAGGAATGTAGAGGGAGAGTGTAGGTTAATCAAAGTTGCTTAAGAGAGTGTCAGTATCTGGTGGTGTGTGTGTGGTTTTTGGTTTTGGTTTTGTTTTTTTGAGACAAGGCCTTGCTCTTTCCGTAGTTTGGAGTGCAGTGGCGTGATCACAGCTCAATGCAGTTTCCACCTCCCATGCTTCAAGCGGTCCTCCCACCTCAGCCTTCCAGGTAACTGGGACTATAGGTGTGGGCCACCAAGCCTGGCTAATATAAAAATATATATTTTTTGTAGAGACGGGGTTTCACTATGTTGTCCAGGCTGGTCTCAAACTCCTGTGCTCAGCAGGGGGATCATCCTGCCTTGGCCTCCCAAAGTGCTGGCATTACAGGCAAGAGAGTATGTGTTTTTAAATCATTTGGTCTGCCTCTTGCAAGACTTTCTTCTTTTTTTTTTCTTTGAGATGTCTCACTCTGTCACCGAGGCTGGAGTGCAGTGGCGCAATCTTGGCTTACTGCAACTTCCGCTTCCCGGTTCAAGTGATTCTCCTGCCTCAGCCTCCCAAGTAGTTGCGATTACAGGCACCCACCACCACGCCCAGCTAATTTTTGTACTTTTAGTAGAAACAGGGTTTCACTATGTTGGCCAGGCTGGTTTCCAACTCCTGACCACAAGTGATCCGCTTGGCTGGGCCTCGCAATGTGCTGAGATTACAGGAGTGAGCGCCTAGGAGATGCCTGGTATTTAAGATGCTTCATAGCTTCTGAAGCCATCCTAATCCACTGGCCAGTTATAGCACACTTGGAATTTTGTTCTTTTAATGCTTTTAACCCATCATAGTCACTGTCCTATGTCACAGGCATGAAAACTTAAGCCACCTTAAGAGAGAGGTGGGCTTTGGAATAATAGGAGGGCCTTATCCCTAATCTGGGCCTTAGCCTTATTGTAAGGAAGAGCTCTTGGTGTAGTTGCTTTCTAGTTCCTTGTCCAGGACATTCTACATGTCTCAAAGAGCTAAGAGTATTCGTCTTGGAATTGGTGAACCTGCCTCATCTCTGTCGTCGTCTCCACATTTCCTCTTGCTCCCAGCCAGCAGGGAATAGAGTGGGCAAATGTGACCTAGGGTTTGACCTCCAGTCACTGATAGATCATTTTTTTTTTTTAATAGCCCTGTTTGTGGAGTACTTTTATTTTTTAGAGATGTCTTGAAATCTGGCC